GTTTTCTTGCAAAAAAAATGCTGAATTTTACACGAAAGAGAGAAATGTCAGAATAGGCCTGGAGGGGAAGTAGTTAGTCTGACTTCCATAGCTGCTTAGATAGTGATGTATATAACAAGGCCGGCTCCACAGAATGAAGCCCCCCTTGTATTATAATGTGATTTATAGGATATGGGATGTTCAGGTGACCCCAGAACACCTATTATAAAGCTGGGGGCCTTGTGTGTGCCCATAGCAACCAGTTCAGGACCCTTTGTAACCATGGACTGCAGCAGAGATAGTGAGAGCCGATAGGTTTCTATGGACAACACTACAGGCCCATTTTCTCATAGTTTAGATAACCTCATTGTACAGCTCAGCCAATCAGCAGCGAGCTACCGGCCAAAAAACGGGCACTCCGCAAATAGGAACATAGAGGCGGGAACGTGTGAGGAGTAATGGACAGGAGACGTTAGCCAATAGCCGTGCGACTCAGTTGTAGGCGGGAACTACTGTGCGTTCGATCGTCAGCAGAAGGAACCAATAGCAGCCCGAGCGTACAGGAGGCGAATAACTGCAGAGAGAAGGCGGCTGGTTCGGTGGTGTCAGGTCGCCTCACCGGCAGCTGCACGGGCGGGGAACGCAAGACACTTTAGCTCGCTCCACCATCGCCCCGGGTACCCCCCACCCCCGGTGCCATGACGTCAGCATCCACCAAGGTGAGCGGGAGGCCCTGGTGGTCCCTGATTGGAGGGGAGGAGTCAGGTGGTATGGTTGCTGTGCACCCTGGGATTTGTAGTTGAGTACCAATAGACGGCCTGTTGTTAGTTTATATACTGAACTACAAATCCCAGCATGCAGTCAGCTTTTTAACTACAGTGACCAGGGCCAGCTACATTGTATCTATTCTATGTGTCAGTGTTCTGTAATAATAACATGATCAGTATTATTATCAATGGATTTATTTATTTCAGGTACTTATATAACACCATCAATTTACACAGCGCTTTACATATATATTGTACATTCACATCAGTCCCTAACCCTCAAGGGGTGTACAATCTAAGGTCCCTAACTCACATTCATACATACACATACTAGGGACAATTTAGACAGGAGCCAATTAACCTACCAGCATGTCTTTGGAGTGTGGGAGGAAACTGGAGTACCCGGAGGAAACCCACGCAGACACAGGGAGAAAATGCAAACTCCAGGCAGGAGGTGCCATGGCTGGGATTCAAACCAATGACTCTAGTACTGCCAGGCAGAAGTGCTAACTATTTAGCCACTGTGCTGCCAATATTATTATCAGTGTATAGAAGGCTGATGGATATAGTAACACTGTTCTGATAATAATAACAGTGCTGGTTGTTATCACAATGATATTATCTATTATTATAATCTCTGCCATTCCGACTTTTATTATCAATATAATTATCACTGATATCATCACAGCTGCTTCTTCTTATCACCACGATCGAAATTGCTGTTATTATTGCTAATATTATATATTTCAGGTACTTATATAGCGCCATCAATTTACACAGCACTTTACATATATATTATACATTCACATCAGTCCCTAACCCTCAAGGGGTGTACAACCTAAGGTCCCTAACTCACATTCATACATACACATACTAGGGACAATTTAGACAGGAGCCAATTCACCTACCAGCAAGTCTTTGGAGTGTGTGAGGAAACCTGAGTACCAGAGGAAACCCACGCAGGCACAGGGTGAACATGCAAACTCCAGGCAGGTGGTGCCGTGGTTGGGATTCGAACCCATGACTCGAGTACTGCCAGGCGGAAGTGCTTATTTATTATTATTATTTTTACTTCCTAAACAGGCCATTTTTTGCGATTATGGTACTGCGTTACTTTAAGTGACAGTTGCGTGGTCATGCAACACTGCACATAAAGGAAATTTGTCATTTTTTTTCTACAAATGGAGCTTACACACAGGTCTCTCCCCTATTCGCTTCACACGGGGATCGCTGGGTGCCAGCGGGGATTCTCCATCCAGGACCCAGTGATCGACATCTGTTGCCACCAATGGCAGCGCGGGTAGGGCGGCGTGTGCACCCCCTTTTCGAAAATGCAAATCACGTGTATATATACGTGATTTTGCGCAACCCTACCACCCTGTAGCAGTATTTCTGCTATAGGGCGGTGATAAATTCTATTACTGTCTTAATTATTATTTCTTTTACTATTATAAGTACTATCAATATTAACCGCTTGAGCTTCATGACCAGGCCGTTTTTTCCTATACGGCACTGCGCAGATTTAACTGGTAATTGCGCGGTCATGCAACACTGTACCCAAATTAAATTTATATCATTTTCTTCACACTAATAGAGCTTTCTTTTGGTGGTATTTGATCACCACTGTTTTTTTTTAAAATTTTTTGCAATATAAAAGACCGACAATGTAAAAAAAAAAAAACCCAAACAGTATTTTTTACTTTCTGCTATAAAACATATCCGATAAAAAACATTTAAAAAATCAAATTTCTTCATAAATTTAAACCAAAATTTATTCTGCTACATATTTGTGATTAAGAAAATCCCAATAAGTGTATATAGATTGTTTTGCATGAAAGGACAGATAGATAGATAGATAGATAGTGAGATAGATAGATAGATAGATAGATAGTGAGATAGATCGATTGATAGAGATGTGTATGTATATATATATATTACACATACTGGAATAAAACATGTTTGTATACTACTAATGGCGGTGATCAGTGACTTAACATAACGAGACTGCAAATCTTTATTTTTTAATTTCTATTTATTTATAATTAGTAATGACGGCAACTTATAATGGGACTGCGATAGTGTGGCGGGCAATCTGACACTGGGGGGAACTGACTGGCTGCCAATGACATCACCAGTGACATTAATTCAATGATATTATACACTGTCACTGTACTAGTGACACTGGCTGGGAAGGGGTTAACATCTAGGGCAGTAGTCTCCAACCTGTGGCCCGAGGGTCTAATACGGTCCTTTGAAAGTTTTTATCCGGCCTTTTGGCCACTATTCCTCCCACTGATATAAGGGGGCACTATTCCTCCCTCTGAAACCAACAGTGGGGCATAATTCCTGCCATGACACTAATGATGAGGACCCTCCCACTGATACCAATGATGGGGTACTATTTCCTCCCACTGATACCAATGATGGGGCACTATTGATGATGGGGCACTACCTCCACTGAATACTCCCACTGACAATACCAATGACGGGGCACTATTCCTCCCCCCCCCCCTCCCACTAATACCAATGATGGGGCACTATTCACTATTCCTCCCACTGATACCAATGATGGGGCACTATTCCTCCCACTGACACCAATGATGGGGCACTATTCCTCCCACTGACACCAATGATGGGGCACTATTCCTCCCACTGATACCAATGATGGGGCACTATTCCTCCCACTGATACCAATGATGGGGCACTATTCCTCCCACTGATACCAATGATGGGGCACTATTCCTCCCACTGATACCAATGATGGGGCACTATTCCTCCCACTGATACCAATGATGGGGCACTATTCCTCCCACTGACACCAATGATGGGGCACTATTCCTCCCACTGATACCAATGATGGGGCACTATTCCTCCCACTGATACCAATGATGGGACACTATTCCTCCCACTGACACCAATGATGGGGCACTATTCCTCCCACTGACACCAATGATGGGGCACTATTCCTCCCACTGACACCAATGATGGGGCACTATTCCTCCCACTGACACCAATGATGGGGCACTATTCCTCCCACTGACACCAATGATGGGGCACTATTCCTCCCAGTAATACCAATGATGACACTCTATTCCTCCTTCTACTGACCACCAAACCCCAGGGCCGTTTCACACTTGAATTACACAAGAATGCGTGCCAATTCCTGCTCATTCCCGTGTAGTGAGGTTTTGCAGACCATTCATTTGCATGAACTGCAAATCACACTGGAAAGTAGAAAAAGTACTGCATGCACTACTACTGCTATAAGATAAAAAAATGAATTGTTCCACCAAAGTGCACGGTACTGCAGTACCATGTGACATACATTGGCACCCTCAGCAGATCGCATTCTGAGCACCGTGCAGGAAACTCACACAAAATGTGCCTTAGTCACACTGCGTTCTGGTGTAAACCAGCCCTGAATCAATGTTTAGTCTCACTGATGCCAGCCCTGGGACATTTTCTAACCCCACTGGCCAGTCTTTCCCTCCTAAAGTCTGAAGGACAGTAAACTTTGGAAAACCCCTGATCTAGGGCGATCAAAGGGCTAAATGTGTGCTTAACTATGTGTAAAGTGTGCTGATTTTTTACTATTAGATCTCTGCTTTGCAGGGATGAGAAATCGACAGATCAGGGGCGCACTGACAACTCATGGGGCCCCCGGGTAGTAGGGGATCATGGGGCCCCTGTGTCCTCGCCCACACTCAAATCACACCCAAAAAAGCCTATGAAAGGTATCAGGGACATCTCATGGGGCCCCCTACTGACCCCGGGCCCTCGGGCAGTGCCCGAGTTCCCCGATGGTCAGTCCGCCCCTGGGACAGATCAGTCCCTCTGTACAGAACACTGTGTTGTTTACCAACACAGAGCTCTGGGCTGTAATTGTACACAACCAATCAGCAGGTCTTGGTCATGAATCATTGGCTGGGACTTGCTGACAGGGTCCTGCTGTGTACAATCAAAGCGGGTGCTGGTCAGGGGCGCTCATACATGCGCCCTAAACCTGGAAGTAGGCAGCGACATACGGGTACGTCGCTTTGCCTACAGTGGCCGCCAGTCCGCGGTACATTGCGGGCAGGCGATCACATCGTGTACAGATCCCCTGCTGCTCGGAAAGGAAGTCGCCCTTCTGAAAGGACGCTAAGAGTGGGATATATATATATATATTTTTTTTTTTTTTTGCAGAAGTTTATGTTGTGTGACGAGAATTATGAATGGTGTCATGACCCTGTATGATGTATCCTTTCCAATGTCTGCACAGGTCGGGGAGATATTCTCAGCGGCTGGAGCTGCCTTCACCAAACTAGGAGAACTGACTATGCAACTCCACCCCCCGTGACAGATTCCTCACCGGCGGGGTAAATGTCCTATAGACCTGCTACTTACCTGTGTGTGCTAAAGTCTGCCTTCTTGTCAGCTACATGTTTTTCCTTCACCTCTCTAAGGGCTATAATATCGGCCCCCTCGTTGGAAGCAAAAGCTGCTCTGTAAAGTTTCAGTAAAGGGAAATTTAGTTTCCCATTTCTTAAAAAAATTATTACACATTTTTTTTTTGTGCTGTAAAATCAATTTTGGAATTTCGTGTTTGTTTAAAGTGTTTGTAAAGCTAAAACAATTTTTTCTGTAGGTTTGGACTGAGTAGGGAATGGTTGGAACCACATCTGGTTTAACAGTTTTCTGTTGGGGAAATTTCCTTTCACTTCCTGTCTCGGAGAAGTATCAGGAAATGAGAGGAAACCCCTCCACAAAGTATTGGGGAATCCCTCTAAACCCTGGTTTACACTGTATGGGCTGGTTATGGGTGCTGGAATCGCAGCTGTTTCCGGAACCACCCACAGACAAATTGAGCTGTTTTTATGGGACGCGTGGGGCTGCCATTCATTCTGAATGGTAACCCCCCCCCCCATCCCAGCTCGCAGAACATTTGAAGGTGCGGGAACCGCAGGGAAATCACATGATCAGAAATACCATGTGGTTTCCCTGTGGCCGCATTTTTAAAAAGGTGTATGCAGGGGCGGACTGACAACTCATGGGGGGCCCATTGACAACTCAATAGGGGATCATGGGGCCCCTGTGTCCTTGCCCACACTCAAAAAAGCCTATGAAAAAGGTACCAGGGGCATCTCATGGGGCCCCCTACTGACCCCAGGCCCTCGGACAGTGCCCGAGTTTCCAAATGGTCAGTCCGCCCCTGGGTGTATGTACTTTTTTTTTTTTTTTTTTTTTAACGGAGGAAAACGCAGGCACAACAGCCCATTCAAATGAATAGGCTGCTGTGCCTGCACAAGTGTGAACCAGGGCTAAAGCCTAGTAAACGCAGGAAGTTTTTTATTTCAATCAAGCGGGCTGAAGGAAAAAAAACTGAGGAGGTCGCTGTACTAACTATGCAAATTTACTATCTCCCCTGCTGTGTTATTGTCTTCTGACAATAATTTGCGTGAGAACACCCTGGTCAGCGCTCGCAGCCATTGGCGAGGAGCTGTACACACAGGCCGAAAGTTCAGAACCAACCGTTTTTGGATGATTTTTTCATCCCTTGTGTACCTAGTATTGAGCATCGTTTACGCTAGCAGTTGATGGGCGGTAACACCTAGTGGTTCAACCAGGGTTTTACTGCCCACCCAACCGCTCCTCCATTAGCTGCAAAGGCAGCAGAACGGATTTGCTGCATCTGCAGTGCCTTGTGCTGCAGAGATGATCCTCTGCTGTCATGTTCAGTTGGCAGAACCAGCTGCTGAACGTAGCTGAATGAGTGTGCCCTGCAACCGCATGCAATTGCAGCATGCTAAAATTTATGGGATTCATTCATCCTCACTTCCTGTCAAATGCTCTCTGAAGAAGAGCCGCCAATGTAATTGAGCCGCTAGACAGTTGCCCCTAGAACAGGGTTAGGCAACCTGAGAGCCGCAGGACTACAAGTTCCATCATGCCTCTGCAAGTCATAGCTGTAACTGTCAGTTTTGTAATCTTCGCAATGCCTCATGAGAAATGTAGTTCCACAACAGCTAGAGAGCCGCAGGATGCCTACCCCTGCCCTAGAACAGTATTTCAGTGAGGACTAAAAGTGAGAACTAAAAAAAAAAAAAAAGTGGATTTCTAATCACTTTCTGTCCCAACGGACAAATAGGAATCTCCCAATCAGGATGGTAGCAATAAAAATTAGATGGAGATACTAAACTTTCTAAGATTTATCCAAGAACAATGTTGGGATGTCGCATTTTTACTAAATACCATTTTTGAATTCTGTAGCCCGCAAGTGGACTGTAGTTCCGCCTAACTGTATAGGAACAAACTCTAAGCTTGCTGTGTTTTTTCTCTACCACATGTAGTTTGAGCGTGCTCCAGCAGGGTGTGCTAAAGAGTTATCATTCGATGTTATGGATATCTGATAACCTGGCCAGTCTTCTGAGACATGGTGGGAGAACTATTTAAAGCTGAAGTTTAGGTACGCGTATTTTTGCATAGTGACTGCGGTCCAGCTTGGACCAATGTAAGTATATACAGCGCTCAGCATAAATGAGTACACCTCAACAGATTTGTCAAAAACTATTTACTTTCCTTTCAGAATCAACATTTTCTATGGGACACTATACTACAAAATACTCCCACAAATGCAGGCCGTTTATTGCAAACAAGATTTGTTAATTTGCATACACAAAAAAGTATTTTTCAAATAAACACATTTATTCAAGACCATGTTGCAAAAATGAATACACCCCAATGAAAGTCTTTAGACGCAAAGCTAAAATTTAGACAACAAAAAATCCTACTTAACAAGAATTCAACTACAGGTGAGTCTAATTCTTCATTTAACAGGTGTCCAGCATACAGCTGATTATAAAAGGGTACTTAACAAGGAAAACCCCTCCCCATTTCATGCTGTCAGCAAAGGCACTACATGAAAGAGAAATGTCACAAGGCCTGAGAAAGAGAAAATAATTTCTTTACACAAGAAAGGTGAAGGCTACAAGAAGATTAGCAAAGCTTTACTTAGTCAGAATACTGTAGCAAAATTGATACAAAGATGGAACTGCAACCATCTCACAGAAACATCCAGACCGTCCATGGCAGTTAACAACTCGACAGGACCGTCTTCTGATGAGAAGGGTTGAAGAAAATCACCATACATGTTCACTGTAGTTAGTGAAATAAGTAGAAAGCTAAACTGGGGTGATTGTTTCCCGTGACAAAATATGGCGTACACTGTAGAGGAATGGCATGCATGGGTGTCGTCCATGAAGGAAGCCTCTCCTAAAGCCAATGCACAAAAAAGCCCACCTAGAATTTGCCAGGGCCCATGCTGAAAAAAAAGACTAATGGGACTCTGTATTCTGGAGTGATAAGACCAAGATGAATGTTTTTGGAACTGATGGCTTAAAAACTGTATGGCGTCGCAAAAGGTGAGTACAAAGAAAAATGCATGGTGCCTACTGTGAAACATGGTGGTGGCAGTGTCTTTCTGTAGGACTGCATGAGTGCTGCTGGTGTCGAGGAGCTGCATATCATTGAGGGTACCATGAATTCACAGATGTACTGTTCTATATTGAAAGAGAAGATGCTACCATCATTCCGTGCTCTTGGTCGTCGTGTACTTTTCCAACATGACAATGATCCAAAACACACATCTAAGGCCGGTGCTGCATTTCTCAAGAAGAACCGGGTGAAAGTGATTCAGTGGCCAAGTATGTCTCCTGATCTGAACCCAATCGAACACCTATGGGGAATTCTGAAGAGACAAGTCAGCATTGAAGAATGGAAAAAGATCGATGTTGCAATATGTCGCCAACTTGTTCATTCCATGCCTCGAAGACTTGGTGCTGTCCTTAGAAATCATAGAGGTCATACAAAATACTAGATGGAGTAGTTTTCGTTGTGAAGTGTATTTATTTTTGCATCAGGAAAACTTTCAATTTTGTAATCTAAGTTATATTATTAACCTTGCTTTCATGTAATGAGCTAAACAAATGTTCTATAAAGCTCAGTTTTGTAAAAATTTTGGAAAGTGTTCATTGAGATATTAATTAAAATCTTACTTTTCAAAAGGGGTGTACTCATTTATGCTGGGCACTGTATGTGTCATTCCTGGAAGCTGGAAATGTATTATTTATTTATATAGAGGCTGGCGATTTACATATATATGGTACGCTCACATCAGTCCATGCCCTTAAGGATCTTCCAGTCTAAGTTCCCTAACTCACATTCATATATACACATATTAGGGCCAATTTACACAGAAGCCAGTTAACTTACCAGCATATCTTAGGTGTGTGGGAGGAAACCAGTACCCGGAAGTGCTCCACAAGCACAAGGAGAACATGCAAACTCCAGTTAGGTAGTGCTGTGGTTGGGATTCAAACCAATGATCCTAGTGCTGTCAGGCAGAAGGGCTAACCACATAGCCACTGTGCTGCCCAGAAATCTCTGTAGCCACTACTATAGTAGTTGTCGCTGGATTCTGGGCCTCATGTTGAGTGGCTGCCTTGTTGCTTAGTGAACACAGAAGGTCGCGGGTGCCATTCAGCATTCTCTGATTGGATAGGCCGGAGATTGTGACATCTTCCCTGTCCAGTCAGAAAACAATTTGCGGTCACTGAGAGAATTCAAAGCCTTCTCTGAATTATGCCCATTCCAAGCGAGCAATCCACTGTGTTCACTAAGTTGCTGGGCTGCCACTTGGCACAGGACCTGGAAACTAGTGGCAATCACTGTAGTAGTGGTGCCTACTGTAGTGATGTCCAGCTTCCACAGGAATCCCACAGTTATGTTGCATCCATACTTACATTCTAACTTTGCAAAAATATGTGTACCAGTTCCTGTTTTGTCTTCCCTCTTGGGCTTTTGCCCTGTGAGGATGCCCACTTAGAAGTTATCTCCTAGGCTTTGGGCCTAGGCACATGGAAAAATGCAGGGATCTCCCTTCCTTGAGGAATCTCAAAGGTGTTTGGTTTGGCTCAATTGCTAAGGAGCCTGAGCTCTTAAGGAGTCCAGCCAGCATAGTTCAGACTAGTTTGTGATAGTTACCTTCAAAAGTCTAGAGTATAAGATCTAGTTTATATGGGGGTATCTTAATTCATACCCTGCCCTCATTGCCATGTGCAATAAACTTTTTTCTGTTTTAAAAAAATCTACTAAAGCGACTGGCACCTATTTTTTTCTGAACATCCAGAAAAAGAACCACACCTGAGATGAATGTTAATGGGAATTTCCTGTAACCCGTTCCCCCTGAACATACTCACATATGGCCTCCAGAAGATTGGAACCTCCTGTGACCTCAATGGACTGGCTAGGACTGAGTCTTTCAGTCACTGGGCCATGGTCTCCTTCTCTTGGGCCTCAGGCCAGCTGAAGATCCCCTAGCCTTCCACAGTGCCTCCCAGTCCCTATAGGGCCATCCAGCCTCCTATAGTGGTCCAAAGTGCCCCTCAACCTCCAAGAGTGCCCCTAGCACTCCCCACACAGTCCCCTGCAATGCCCATTCGCTTGCTGCAGAGTCCACACCTCCCCGTAGTGCCCTCAACCTCCAACTATGTCCCACCATGCACCAGCCCTCACAGTGCTCCTGCACTGTCCCCAGACTTATAGGGAGGCCCCCAACAGAGACATATCCCCCACAGTTGCCCACAGCTCCCTCCTGAAACCTCTTCACATGCAAGGCCACCAAATCTGCTGCAGAGTCTCCTAACGCCCTTCACAACCCCCAAATCCTCTGCAGTGACACCAGCCCCTTCCAGAGCCATCCAGCATTTCAATGCATATTTTGTAGTCCCATACTTTATCGTGTGAGTATAAACTTTCTTTTTTACAGTTGGGACATAGTAGCTTTTGGAAGAATGTACCAGCCCTGGTCTCAATAAAGTTGAGAGGCACTGGGCTACAAGACTTCAAGGAAAGAGGTATGTATAGAGGGAGGGCTTCACTGTAACTGACACCAGTCATTATGAATTTCTATAACAAGGACAGTGTAAGTAAGTGGTCATTTCAAGCATTGTATGTAAGTGAACCACCTGAAAACTGTTACTTAATGGTGGTTTCCTATTAAAAACCTTACCTTCACTTTCATACATCTAAAAGCAACTTTTTTTGCCCCAAGTGTGGACTACGTTAGGAAATAATTATAACCCTTTTATGTTTTCTTTGCCAACTGTGTCCCATTTGGGGAGATTTCCCATCACCTCCTGTCCTGTAGACACAACAGGAAGTGATAAGAAATCTCTCCTTAATTAGGGAAGTGTCCCTTTTGGAGGATTTCCCCTCTATTCCTGTTCTGGTGGCAAATCAGAATTTTGGATTTTCTATTACTTTCTGTCCTGTGATGATGAACAACAGGACAGAGAGGGCAACTCTCCCTAGTATGAACTTAGTAGGTTCTAACCTCTCACTACTTTTTTCCAAAACTATAAAGTTTTGCATACACTGAGATATGCTAGGAGTGCCTGTCTTGCATTCTCTGCTGTGAATCTGTTCTTTGCCATGTCATGCCTTCTTCCCCCTGTTCTCCTGCATCTCCATGGCTCTGCTTTCACTCCTCGTTCCTACTTGTGTCTCCCCAGGGCCCGCTGGACAGACAATGAGATTCAGATGTTGCATGCGGCTGTCAGACGCTTCGGGGAAGACTTAAATCAGATCAGCTCAGTAATCAAGGAGAGGACAGTGTAAGGAGAATGGGGAGTGGTAGAAAAGGGGACACTATTTGGCTAAACATTTTGTGGACAACTGACCATCAAGGGCGAGAGAAAGGGGTGGGCAGGAGGGGCAGCTGCCCTGGCGATTTGTGTGGTTGTATTAGAAGAGGTGATTGGGGTGATTTGCATTAGGAGGGTAAATGTGTTAGGAAGGGGTTTTCTTTTTGGGGGGGAGTAAGATTTGTGCTATAACGGATGATTGGACAGATTAGTGCTAGGAGGCAAAATTGGGGGGGGGGGGGGGGGGAATTAGTGCTAGCAGAGGGGATTAGGGTAGGGTTTGTGCTGGGAGAGGGGGGTTGGGGGGGGATTTATGCTCAGAGGGGAGATTTAAGTGGTAGTGAATTTGTACTAGGAGGGGGGATTTGGGGAGGGAGATGATGATTTCAGCTAGTAGAGATGATTGGACAGATTTGTGCTAGTAGGGGAAATTTGGGAGGGGGGAGATTAGTGCTAGCCAAGGGATTTGGGGGGGGGGGGGGGGGGGATTTGTGCTGGGAGAGGGGGGGGTTTGGGGGGGGGGGGATTTTATGCTCCGACAGGAAATTTAAGGGTTAGTGGATTTGTGTTTGAGCTGGGAGGGGAATTTGTACTGGGAGAGGGGGGGGTTATGCTCAGAGGGGAGGTTTGTGGGGTAGTGGATTTGTACTAGGAGGGGGGATTAGGGGGAGGTAGAGGATTTTAGCTGGGAGGGGGGTTTGAACTGGGAGAGGAGGGTTGATGGAGGGGGTATTTATGCTCAGAGGGGAAATTTGAGGGGTGGGTAATTTGTACTGGAAGAGGGGGAATTTTTGTTTGTGGAGAAATTCGGTTTGCAAAGGGAATTTATGCTTAGGGTAAAGTGTGAAGATTAGTTTTTTTTTATTTTTTTTTGGGGGGGGGTGGGGTGGGGTGGGGGCCATTTGGCACCTTGCCCAGGGTGCTAGATGACTTTGTCCCAGCACTGCTGACCAGCACAGCTCTGTGAGCTTGTTGGACATCCCATTCCACAACCGTGGCCAGTAATATGGAGTTAGTGTAGTTAAGCCACCACTCTTTTGAGAAGGAGTGCGTTCCTAATTGGCCAAAAGAGCATTTGTGAGTTCAGGCACTGATGTTAGACTACAACAACCTGACATCCCAACAGGGTTGAGGTCGGGGCTCTGTGTAGGCCACTTGAGTTCTTCCACACCAAACCCACCATGTCATGTCTGCTTCTCGCTCTTTGGGCTGCCCAAAAATGAAGGCCTCGTCCACACAGGATTTAGTATACTGTACACTCGTGCAGAGCCAGGGTTATCCACACTGGGATGCACAGAAGCAGTCCCATTGATATCAATTGAAACACAGCGGCTACGCGGGACATGGCCACTGTATTCCCAAAATGACTTCCATATGGGTGTGTGTCCCCAAACTCACATTGTGTCTCATTTTTTACATTTTAGAATGTGGTGCTTTTGAGATTCTGTATAGTTTTTAAAAAGTGCCTTCCCACTGACACCAAAGATGGGGCATTATTTCTCCCACTGATTCTGACATTGGAATATTATTCCTTCCACTGACACCCACGTTGGGGCACTATTCCTCCCACGGACACCAATGATGGGACACTATTCCTCCCACGGATACCAATGATGGGGCACTATTCCTTCCACTGATACCAATGATGGGGCACTATTCCTCCCACTGATGCCAATGATGGGGCACTATTCCTCCCACTGATACCAATGATGGGGCACTATTCCTCCCACTGATACCAATGATGGGGCACTATTCCTCCCACTGATACCAATGATGGGGCACTATTCCTCCCACTGATACCAATGATGGGGCACTATTCCTCCCACTGATACCAATAATGGGGTAGTACTATTCCTCCACTGATACCAATGATGGGGCACTATTCCTCCCACTGATACCAATGATGGGGCACTATTCCTACCACTGATACCAATGATGGGGCACTATTCCTTCCACTGATACCAATGATGGGGCACTATTCCCTCCACTGATACCAATGAGGGCGCACTATTCCTTCCACTGATACCAATGATGGGGACACTATTCCTCCCACTGATACCAATGATGGGGCACTATTCCTCCCACTGATACCAATGATGGGGCACTATTCCTTCCACTGATACCAATGATGGGACACTATTCCTCCCACGGACACCAATGATGGGACACTATTCCTCCCACTGATACCAATGATGGGGCACTATTCCTTCCACTGATACCAATGATGGGGCACTATTCCTTCCACTGATGCCAATGATGGAGCACTATTCCTCCCACTGATACCAATGATGAGGCACTATTCCTCCCACTGATACCAATGATGGGGCACTATTCCTCCCACTGATACCCAATGATGGGGCACTATTTCTCCCACTGATACCAATGATGGGGCACTATTCCTCCCACTGATACCAATGATGGAGCACTATTCCTCCCACTGATGCCAATGATGAGGCACTATTCCCCCCCACTGATACCAATGATGGGGCACTATTCCTCCCACTGATACCAATGATGGGGCACTATTCCTCCCACTGATACCAATGATGGGGCACTATTCCTCCCACTGATACCAATGATGGGGTACTATTCCTCCCACTGATACCAATGATGGGACACTATTCCTCCCACTGATACCAATGATGGGGCACTATTCCTTCCACTGATACCAATGATGGGGCACTATTCCTTCCACTGATACCAATGATGGGGCACTATTCCTCCCACTGATACCAATGATGGGGCACTATTCCTTCCACTGATGCCAATGATGGGGCACTATTCCCCTCCCACTGATACCAATGATGGGGCACTATTCCTTCCACTGATGCCAATGATGGGGCACTATTCCTCCCACGGATGCCAATGATGGGGCACTATTCCTCCCACTGATGCCAATGATGGGGCACTATTCCTCCCACTGATGCCAATGATGGGGCACTATTCCTCCCACTGATGCCAATGATGGGGCACTATTCCTCCCACGGATGCCAATGGTGGGGCACTATTCCTCCCACGGATGCCAATGATGGGGCACTATTCCTCCCACTGATACCAATGATGGGGACACTATTCCTCCCACTGATACCAATGATGGGGCACTATTCCTTCCACTGATACCAATGATGGGGCACTATCCTCCCACTGATACCAATGATGGGGGCACTATTCCTTCCACTGATGCCAATGATGGGGCACTATTCCTTCCACACTGATGCCAATGATGGGGCACTATTCCTTCCACTGATGCCAATGATGGGGCACTATTCCTCCCACTGATACCAATGATGGGGCACTATTCCTTCCACTGATGCCAATGATGGGGCACTATTCCTCCCACTGATGCCAATGATGGGGCACTATTCCTCCCACTGATGCCAATGATGGGGCACTATTCCTCCCACTGATGCCAATGATGGGGCACTATTCCTCCCACTGATGCCAATGATGGGGCACTATTCCTCCCACTGATGCCAATGATGGGGCACTATTCCTCCCACGGATGCCAATGGTGGGGCACTATTCCTCCCACGGATGCCAATGATGGGGCACTATTCCTGCCACTGATATCAATGATGGAACACTATTCCTGCCCATGATATCAATGATGGGACACTATTCCTGCCACTGATACCAATGATGGGGCACTATTCCTACCACTGATACCAATGATGGGGCACTATTCCTTCCCACTGATACCAATGATGGGGCACTATTCCTCCCACTGATACCAATGATGGGGGCACTATTCCTTCCACTGGATACCAATGATGGGGCACTATCCTCCCACTGATACCAATGATGGGGCACTATTCCTCCACTAATACCAATGATGGGGCACTATTCCTCCCACGGATGCCAATGATGGGGCACTATTCCTTCCACTGATGCCAATGATGGGGCACTATTCCTCCCACTGATGCCAATGATGGGGCACTATTCCCTCCCACTGATGCCAATGATGGGGCACTATTCCTCCCACTGATGCCAATGATGGGGCACTATTCCTCCCACTGATGCCAATGATGGGGACACTATTCCTCCACTGATGCCAATGATGGGGCACTATTCCTCCCACGGATGCCAATGATGGGGCACTATTCCTCCCACTGATACCAATGATGGGACACTATTCCTCCCACTGATATCAATGATGGGGCACTATTCCTTCCACTGATACCAATGATGGTGCACTATCCTCCCACTGATACCAATGATGGGGCACTATTTCCTTCCACTGATACCCAATGATGGGGCACTATTCCTCCCACTGATACCAATGATGGGGCACTATTCCTTCCACTGATGCCAATGATGGGGCACTATTCCTCCCACTGATACCAATGATGGGGCACTATTCCTTCCACTGATGCCAATGATGGGGCACTATTCCTCCCACTGATGCCAATGATGGGGCACTATTCCCTCCCACTGATGCCAATGATGGGGCACTATTCCTCCCACTGATGCCAATGATGGGGCACTATTCCTCCCACTGATGCCAATGATGGGGCACTATTCCTCCCACTGATGCCAATGTTGGGGCACTATTCCTCCCACGGATGCCAATGATGGGGCACTATTCCTCCCACTGATATCAATGATGGGACACTATTCCTGCCACTGATACCAATGATGGGGCACTATTCCTACCACTGATACCAATGATGGGGCACTATTCCTTCCACTGATACCAATGATGGGGCACTATTCCTCCCTGATACCAATGAAGGCGCACTATTCCTTCCACTGATACCAATGATGGGGCACTATTCCTCCCAGTGATACCAATGATGGGGCACTATTCCTCCCACTGATACCAATGATGGGGCACTATTCCTACCACTGATACCAATGATGGGGCACTATTCCTTCCACTGATACCAATGATGGGGAACTATTCCTCCCACTGATACCAATGAGGGGCGCACTATTCCTCCCACTGATACCAATGACGGGGCACTATTTCTTCCACTGATACCAATGACGGGACACTATTCCTCCCACTGATACCAATGATGGTGCACTATTCCTCCCACTGATACCAATGATGAGGCACTACTCCTCCCACTGACACCAATGATGGGACACTATTCCTCCCACTGATACCAATGATGGGGCACTATTCCTCCCACTGATACCAATGATGGGGCACTATTCCTCCCACTGATACCAATGATGGGGCACTATTCCTTCCACTGATACCAATAATGGGGCACTATTCCTCCCACTGATACCAACGATGGGGCACTATTCCTCCCACTGACACCAATGATGGGACACTATTCCTCCCACTGGTACCAATGATGGGGCACTATTCCTCCCACTGATACCAATGATGGGGCACTATTCCTCCCACTGATACCAATGATGGGGCACTATTCCTCCCACTGATAAATGATGGGGCACTATTCCTCCCACTGATACCAATGATGGGGCACTATTCCTTCCACTGATACCAATAATGGGGCACTATTCCTCCCACTGATACCAATGATGGGGCACTATTCCTCCCACTGATGCCAATGATGGGGCACTATTCCGTCCTCTGACAGCAATGATGGAGCACTATTCCTCCCACTGATACCAATGATGAGGCACTATTCCTCCCACTGATACCAATGATGGGACACTATTCCTCCCACTGATACCAATGATGGGGCACTATTCCTCCACTGATATCAATGATGGGGCACTATTCCTCCCACTGATATCAATGATGGGGCACTATTCCTCCCACTGATATCAATGATGGGGCGCTATTCCTCCCACTGATACCAATTATGGGGCACTATTCCTCCTACTGATACCAACGATGGAACACTATATCTTCCACTGACACAAAAAATGGGACATAATTGCAACCAATGATAAAAAACAATGGAAAACTATTCTAAACACCAAAGATGGGGCATTATTTCTCTCACTGATCCTGACATTGGAATATTATTCCTTCCACTGACACCCACGATGGGACACTATTTCTTCCACTTATACCAATGATGGGACACTATTTCTTCCACTTATACCAATGATGGGACACTATTCCTCCTGCTGATATCAACGATGGGGTGATTTTTTTTTTTTCCTACTAACCACCAAGGCTGAGGCATTGTTTACTGCCACTGATGCTGAGACATTTTCTACTCTTACTGACCACAATCCAGCCCCCCTAAAGTCTGAAGGATAGTAAACTGGCCCTTTGTTTTAAAAGTTTGGAGACTTTGTCTAGATCAGAGGTGGCCCTCCATGTGTTGAGGAACTGCAAGTCCCGTGAGGCCTTGCAAGACTCTGACAGCCACAGGCAAGACTTCAAGAGGTAGAGGCATGATGGGACTTGTATGGAGACCCCTGGTCTAGATGAAGGAAAGAAGAAACACATTTATTTGGGTGGTACATACATTTTCCTCTTAAGCTAGCCATACATGGTTCTTTTTTTTTTTCATTCAGCCAGGAAGCTAAACGAGAAAACTGAACTGATTCATTGGAGGTGGATGTGGGAATCCTGCCCACTGTGTCATTGTATTCTGACAGCAGAGGAATCAGCTGGACTCCTGCGATGTCAGAATACACGGATCAGCCCGTTTGGTTGCAGTGCTGACCAAACTAAAGTTCTCCAACAAGATCATTCGTAAACAGTTGACCAGTAGAATGACTGCCTTCGAACAGGTCTGGCCATAGATGGATCGCAACTGATCGGTCTCTGCTGAATCGGTTGAATTTCTATCAATTTTTATCTTTAGATGTGGCCCGATAGTTTTATAACATCCCCTGCCATGTGTCAAGGTGTCTTTAAGAAACAGTCTATGTTGGCATTGAACAGCCAACTAAAACCAAGCTTGCAGCGAAAAGTGACAGTTGGATGCCAATGTCTTTAGGTCTTGTTCACACCATATGTGCATGGAAACTGACGCGCAGATTTCACTTGCAGAGACATCGGTTTCCATCAATTTTCATGTGCGCTTCAATGAGTTTTATACCCGTTGCAGATTCCTATGCAGAAAAAAATCTGTACATGATACCAGTGTTGTGGCGTGAACAGGACACATAGAGAACAATTGATTCTGTTGTGCCCATGCAGAACGTGTGCAGAAAAACTGACCTCTCTGCACCATGGTGTGAACGAGGCCTTAGGGTAGAAATGCACTTTTAGCGAAGTCACATGTGTGCTGCAGCACGCCACAATGTACAGTAACACCCTCCCATGCATTGTGGTGCACTACGTTGCCAAAAATGGTGCATGTCCTGTTTTTTGGATGTTTTGGTGTGTTGCCAGCCCATTCGTTTGCATGGGCTGCCTTAACTCCATGAGCATTAATGTAATACACCAGGATGCAAGTTACTGACCTAACACAGGTATGCTAGGTAGAAATGCCAGACATCCTTGTCTATATACTTGTTAAAAACTCCTGATTCAAAGTCAGAGGATCCACATGGCAGCCAGGCAAGGATCCACATGGCAGCCAGGCAGCTAGCATCCTCAGAAGGAAAGCACAATAGATTCAGCCTCCCTGTCTCTCATGGCAGGCTTCCTTTAAATATGCTTTGGTTGTTTTCTGTATGCCACTTGTGCGCTTACTTCCCCCATTTTAAGCTTTAGGTGGTTTAAGTGCTCCTCCATCTTGTTCACAATCTGTCATATTGTGTATGTCTCCCAGCAGGGCACAGATTAAGTACGCAGTGAAAAGGAAGATCTACGATGACAGCGGAGTCCCCCTGCCTTCGGATTCCCCCCGGAAAGTGGCAAAGAAGGCCGCGCCAGCTTCCTCTTCAGTCAGCATGGTGTCCGCACCACAGGTTGTGAGTGGGACAACAATACCTGAGGGGTCCCAGAGTGCCATGAAGAAACGCAAGTCCTCTGGTGAGAAATGGGGGATGTGTGTGTTGGGGGGGGTTGTCAGGGGGAGTGTAATGGCATGCTGTATTCCCGGCATCTCTTCTTTCAGCAGATGTAACGCTCAGCGCCCTGAACGACTCCGACGCCAACAGTGATCTGGTAGACATAGAAGGTTTGGGTGATAGAAGCACTGTGAAAAAACTCAACTTCGATCAGGGTATGAAATCTCATTTTTATTTTACTCTCCTACATTTTTTCATTCTTCAATGTCACATCACCATTTTATTTCATATTTTGTATCCAAATTGTCCACCATTTTGTGTCTGTATTTTCAGTCTTTGATATACTTTTTCCTGCATTAAATCTATTGAAACCCATCACCAGCACCATCTTGTCCCTGCTCACCTTCTGCATTTCCTTTTTTGTCCACATCCTCTCTACCACCCCTCCCTCATTCTCCTCAATTATTTTATTTTCCTATCCTCTTTCCCAGCTCTACCTTTCCTTGCTGTTCTTCACCCACCCACATTCTTCAATCACTTGCCTTTTACTTTTCTCCTTCTCCACACCTTTCTATGTTCTCCTCATTGTCTGCACATTCCCCTGTTCCCTCCCTCTCCCTTGCACCTTTTCACTGTTCTCCTTGTTCTCCCCTGCACCTTTCACTGTTCTCCTTGTTCTTCTCTACACCTTTCCCTCTTCTCCTTCTGCTTCTTTTCTCCACACCTTTTTCCCTCTTCTCCTTCTACCTCTTCTCTACACCTTTCCTTCTTCTCTTCTCCTTCTACCTCTTCTCTACACCTTTCCCTCGTCTCCTTCTTCTTCTCTACACCTTTCACTCGTCGTCTTCTTCTTCTTCTTTCTTCTCTACACCTTTCCCTCGTCTTCTACTTCTACACCTTCTCGTCTTCTTCTTCTCTACACCTTTCCCTCGTCTTCTTCTTCTTCTCTACACCTTTCCCTCGTCTTCTTCTTCTTCTCTACACCTTTCCCTCGCCTCCTTCTGCTTCTTCTCCACACCTTTCCCTCTTCTCCTTCTACCTCTTCTCTACACCTTTCCCTCTTCTCCTTCTTCTTCTTCTTCTCTACACCTTTGTGCACCTTTTTCTTCTTCTTTCTTCTTCCTCTCCATGCCTTTCCTTGTTCTCCCCCTTCCCCTTTCTTTTTCCTCTCCTTTTCATCTTGTACCTTCTATCTTCCCCCACCACTTTGCCACCTTATTCCCCTTCCTCTCCATTGTCCCACTTTCTTACCATTTCTCTTTGACCTTGCCCTATTCATCTTCACCTACCGTTCTTATCTGCATCTACCTTATTTCCCTAAACCTCCCCGTCAACCATCTTTCTTTACTGTCCCAATTTTTTTTACCTTTTTTTTTTGTCTTTCTTTCCATTTTGTCCTTTTTCGTTTTCTTTGCCCTTTCTTCTTACTCTTATGCACCTCCCCCCCAGCTTCATAATCCATCTTCTAATCTTGTATGTTCCTGTTTCCATTTCAGACAGTCTAAACTTGGATTCCAACTTTATTATGAACTCTAGTGATATCCCCCTTTTATCTCGCTGATAGTATGTTCCACACCTGCTTGTAAATATTATTTCCTCCATCGACACCCCCTTTGTGGAATATCCCTCCATTTCCTGTTGTGACGATAGCTGCACCAAGCCACTTCCTGCCATGGAGAAACAGCCGCAAACCTTATGACCTGTGACCTTTGCTACGGATGTGAACAAATGTGTTGTCGGTCTTCCATGTTTTTTGATAAAATTTTAAAAATCCCAGATGGAATGTTGTCTTTTGTCTTCATCCTGCGTTGGACATTGCCACGGCACCCTGAAGCAGCACAGACAGTACTGGCAGATGTCACAATGTAGCCACTGCCAATATCTGTGTGCTGCTATAGGGAAGCGGGCCATCCTGCTGTAGATTGACAATCCTGCTTCACAAGCCCCTCATGAATTGAATATCTTGGCAAGAAATCTTCACCGTGTAAAAAAAGTAGATACAATTAGTTATTAAAGGGGGTCCAGGAACACCCACTCCTCCAGACTGACACCTGTTTTATGAAGGCACTTTAACATTTGCATTATGTCTCTCAATATTCTTTAATCAGGGTTGAGGGATCTTAGGAGGAGTATGGAGGCAGGGTGCTGAGATGTGATCATGGATCTACCGTGTTTCCCCGAAAATAAAACACTGTCTTTTATATATATATATATATATATTTTTTTATATTTTTTTGGCTCAAAAAGGTAGGGGGGTTCTGTGGGAGCGGACGGTGAGTACAGAGGTAGGGGGGTTCTGTGGGAGCGGATGGTGAGTACAGAGGTAGGGGGGTTCTGTGGGAGCGGACGGTGAGTACAGAGGTAGGGGGGTTCTGTGGGAGCGGACGGTGAGTACAGAGGTAGGGGGGTTCTGTGGGAGCGGACGATGAGTACAGAGGTAGGGGGGTTCTGTGGGAGCGGACGGTGAGTACAGAGGTAGGGGGGTTCTGTGGGCGGACGGTGAGTACAGAGGTAGGGGGGTTCTGTGGGAGCGGACGGTGAGTACAGAGGTAGGGGGGTTCTGTGGGAGCGGACGGTGAGTACAGAGGTAGGGGGGTTCTGTGGGAGCGGACGGTGAGTACAGAGGTAGGGGGGGTTCTGTGGGAGCGGACGGTGAGTACAGAGGTAGGGGGGTTCTGTGGGAGCGGACGGTGAGTACAGAGGTAGGGGGGTTCTGTGGGAGCGGACGGTGAGTACAGAGGTAGGGGGGTTCTGTGGGAGCGGACGGTGAGTAGGGGGGTTCTGTGGGAGCGGACGGTGGTACAGAGGTAGGGGGGTTCTGTGGGAGCGGACGGTGAGTACAGAGGTAGGGGGGTTCTGTGGGAGCGGACGGTGAGTACAGAGGTAGGGGGGTTCTGTGGGAGCGGACGGTGAGTACAGAGGTAGGGGGTTCTGTGGGAGCGGACGGTGAGTACAGAGGTAGGGGGGTTCTGTGGGAGCGGACGGTGAGTACAGAGGTAGGGGGGTTCTGTGGGAGGGACGGTGAGTACAGAGGTAGGGGGGTTCTGTGGGAGCGGACGGTGAGTACAGAGGTAGGGGGGTTCTGTGGGAGCGGACGGTGAGTACAGAGGTAGGGGGGTTCTGTGGGAGCGGACGGTGAGTACAGAGGTAGGGGGGTTCTGTGGGAGCGGACGGTGAGTACAGAGGTAGGGGGGTTCTGTGGGAGACGGTGAGTACAGAGGTAGGGGGGTTCTGTGGGAGCGGACGGTGAGTACAGAGGTAGGGGGGTTCTGTGGGAGCGGACGGTGAGTACAGAGGTAGGGGGGTTCTGTGGGAGCGGACGGTGAGTACAGAGGTAGGGGGGTTCTGTGGGAGCGGATGGTGCTGTCACTTCATCCACGCTTATGTGTTTATAAGGGACAGTAGATATGGGTGTGCACAGGGCCACTGCTAGAGGTGGTGGAATGGCGTTCCGCCATGTTCCAGCTGAAAAAAAGCCCTGATCACAACTAGGTCTTATATTCGGGGTAGGTCTTATACTTTAGCAATTCCCAAAAATAGCACTAGGTCTTATTTTTGGGGTAGGTCTTATTTTAGGGGAAATAGGGTATGTACAGCACCTTGATAGCCCCTCTCACCATCTGCCTGCATTTCAAAGAGAAGCACAGAGACCCAGTGATGTAAGCACTGAGTCTAAAACAAGGTATGTAATGAAAAAAGAAAGGGGCTGATATTTCTGGTAACTCCCATGATAGTTTCTTCTGTCTCTTGGGGGTTCTATAGGTAAGATTTCTACTACGTTTCTCTAAGCTTCTGCCCTGCACACAGTAACTGTGGCCATATGGGGGTCTCCAGTCACCTCCAATAAGATATAAAAAGTCAAAGTAACTTTCCACCTAAAACTGAAATATCACTTTGTTCTTTTAAACTGGAAACAACTAATTGATTGCAGTGGGCAACATAACTTTTACTTTTCTCCTTTAAGCCTGTGTTTGGAAATAATTGTTATCATGTAGAGAATTCTAATATGAAGAGCCAAAGGCCTGTCTGAAAATTATTCGGTTGAAGCTACCTTCACCCGAAGGGGAAAACATGTTGACTGAATGAATCAAGTCCTCTTGAGCCTTGTATTGATGAAGGAATAAGAGCACAAAGATCATAGTGCAGGAAAGACTGTAAATAGTCTCGTATGTCAGGAATTGGATGATGAGAGAAGCCAGCTGATTCCATAAAGTAGTACAATCCTGCCTCTGCATTTGGGAGTCATCCTTGTAACTGTCAGGCTTGCAGTGTCTTATGGGACTTGTAGTTCTGCAACAGCTGGAGGGCCAAAGTTTGACACACATGAACTAAAGCAACCAATACACATTTGCTTTACTGAAGCCAGCTCAGATAAAAATTAAAGCCCAACTCTGGCAGTATCCCCATCCCCATGCACCAGCAGTCTAATGCCCTGATGTCAAGAAGACCAATAGAAGACCCAGAGTCCTGTATAGGACATGATGAGGCCGAGGGACAGTCCACTTGCTGCAGCATAACAGTTTGCCAGTGAAGTGGAGGAACAGGTAAGTCAAATGCTTTTACTCTCCCCTAGAAAAAACAAGCAGGTAATACTTGCAGTGTAGATGAGAATTTTCAAAATTTGCAGAGCTGGGCTTTAAATGCAAATCAAACTGGCATTGTTTCCTCTTGCCTAATGGATTCAGTGCCATCACCCTTGCCATTTTTTTTTTTATTAACAGCACAAGCGTTTGTGCAGTGTCTGAAAGTATGTACAAAAAGAAATGCATTGAAAGAGACAGATAGGAAAAGTTTTTTTGTGTGTGTTTTTTTTTTTTTTATATATGAAGGGCACTATCCCCAGCATGCCTCAGTGTATTTATTAATTATACCTGCCAGCTAGCTGTAAAGTAGAGCTCTGGTGCCCAAGCTGCAGCACTTTTTGTGTGAAGTCCCAGCAGAGACAAATCTGTATTTCCCCATTGCCCAGTATAGCAGTGACTTCTAGCAGTCTAAGGTAATGTGTCTCCAATTTATGGCTGTCTCCTGGAACCCATCTCTCACAACTCCTATAGCAAGATCAGTCTTTTAGTACATTCTGCAGCATGTCTGCGGTCTAACCATCTCTTGTAGCATGTCTGCGGTCTAACCATTTCTTGTAGCATGCCTGTAATCTCTACCCATCTCCTGTATCATGTCTGCAGTTTCTAACCATTTCTTGTAGCATGTCTGCGGTCTAACCATCTCTTGTAGCATGTCTGCGGTCTAACCATTTCTTGTAGCATGCCTGTAATCTCTACCCCATCTCCTGTATCATGTCTGCAGTTTCTAACCATTTCTTGTAGCATGTCTGCGGTCTAA